TCAAGATATAATATGCAGAGAGTCAGTCATGCATCATGGTAAATCATATGCTCACACAGCTTAGTATATCGACAGTGCTATAGTCTAGCAAGTAACATGATGTCTATAATAAAATGAAAACGATGATAACGTGGCATACGTACTGTTTGTAATGAAACAAGTGTCATTACTTGCTAGAAATGATGTGATATACGTACTTGACAGCAATAATATAATGCATATACTAGTAGTAACAATGTAATAATACTAAAACACTAATATCACAATAGTCCTCCAAAGTCGAATATTTATATGTGGGTCTGACATGAAATATAGCCACTATAATGAAACTGATGCAAAAGCAAGACTCCGAATATAAGCAGTAGCAACGATGCTCTAGGCATAAATAGATGAAATAAGCTGACATCCTTATATGGGGATAGCGCATTCATGTCAAAGGCTTTCTCCATGGTGTTTGATCCAGCCATGAAAGGGATTAACTTCTAAGGTAGCAAGGCATGGCTCCTTGTGGGAAGCATCACACTTATCCTTGTCGAGGCTTTTTTTATTTTTATTTTTTACCTCCTTGCAAGGGGTTTGCTCTTCTGTACAAGGGCTTCCTCCGTGGTTTTTGATCGAGCCATGGAAGGCTTCATCTTCATAGGTAGGTAATAAGGTGGGCTCACCTCTCTCCTTATGAAGTGGTAATTGACATCCTTGCATGGTAGATGATTCATCTATGTCAAAGCTTCCTGCATAGTGGATGATTCATCCAAGCATGGGATAATATAAGCTTTTTGAAGATAAGTAGATGTAATATGATTGAAGTAGAAGCAAAACTATGAAAGATAGGCAGCTACAATGCAGTCGATGCAGAGGCATGATGAGCTCTCTGAAAATAGATGTAGCTATGATGCAATAACCTATATGGTGAGGCATCTCGTAAAGTGAGGAATGAATATTGAGTTGATGGATCGTCTCGAACTATCGAAGTCTTATAAGCTAACCTCGGTTAGACGACGTTTTATAGCCAGGCTCGACGATAGTGAAAGGCGAGCGATAATCATCTTGTGAAGTTAGGAATAAACATCTAACAAGATGGAGAATAAACATCCCAAGAATAGCTCTCAAATTATTGGAGTCTTATAAGCAGCCTCGGATAGATGAGTGCTTATAGCTAAACTCGATGATAGTAAGAGGCGAGAAATAAACATTTCGCAAAGTCAGGAATAATCATCTGGCGAAGTGGGGAATAAGTGTCCTGTTAATAGCTCTCGAACTATCAGAGTCTTGTAAGCAGCCTTGGATAAATGAGGGCTTACGGCTAAGCTCGACAATAGCAAAGGACAAGGGATAATCACCTCACAAGTAAGGCCAAGAAAGGCTCCTTTTCCAATGGTACACACGTCTGGATGAGGTCAAAAAATGCTCCTTTTTCAAAGGCAAATGCTTTGAGATTCCACCTCTTCCTTTATTCAAGAAACAAGGACCCCAAGACACAACCTCTTTCTTTATTTAAGAAACGAGGAATTAAAGATATTGTCTCTTCCTTTATTCAAGGAACGAGAACTTATAAAATACCGCCTCTTCCTTTATCCAAGGAATAAGGACTCCAAAATGTTTTCTTTTCCTTAATTTACTCGAGGACCGAAGAATCCAAAATGCCACTTCTTCCTTTATCCAAGGAATGTGGACTCTAAAATATTGTCTCTTCCTTTATTTAAGGAACGATGACTTATAAAACATCGCATCCGATAATAAGAAATCCACTTCATCTGCGAGAAACTCGATGCATATGAAATAGGTAGAAACTACCAATATATGCCGGATCTAAGCACAAAATGGAGTTTAGATAGAGTATTGATATATCTTGAATATGCTAATAAATTTAAAAAAGACATTATTCACCAACATTGCATATTGCAACCTGTTTGTATATTAATTATTGAAGAATTGGGTCAAGCCTTCATTATTCATTGTCCATAGCCTAATCTTTCATACCTATAAAAATCTGTGATGTTATTTCCTTTTAAATATGCATTTCAAGCTCAACTACCTTAATGGTGAGGATAAAAGATTGTTAAATGATGAGTTGTTGTGGTGGTTTTGTTGTTGGGGGGAGGGGGGTTTAGTGGCTTTTGTTGGTTGTGCAAGTAGAAGTACGGGCGACGATGTTGGATCTATCGGCGGTTTTTGTGTGGTGGTGCAAGTGGAGGTGTTGACTGTGGTGGTGACGGCGATGGTGGATCTATCAACGATTTTTGTGTGTGGTGCAAGTGGAGGTGGTGGCGATGGTGGATTTGCCGATGATTTTTGTATGGTGGTGCAAGTGGAGATGTTGAAGTTGGTGGTGGCGACAATGGTGGATCTGCCGACGATTTTTGTGTAGTGCAAGTGTAGATGTTGACGGTGGTGGCGACGGTGGTTGATGATGGTGATGTTGCGGTGGTGGTAGTGTTGTGGTGCTAGCGATCATCGCAGGGTAGGGTGGTCACAAATGGCGATGGCAATAGTGTTGTTGGTGGTGGTACGTGACCCAATATTTGGTGTATGTGGCCAATTATTTGGTTTTCTGCGTCCAAATATGAAACCGTGACTTTAAAATTTGATAATTTATGATCGAGAAATAATTTGTGACCAATAAGTTTGAAAATATATGACCGATAGATAAACTATGACCTATAATTTTTTTTGATTTGTGATCAATGAAAAACACTGCGATCTATAAAATTTTTTATTTGTGACTTTGAAAAATCTGTGACCTAAACAATTTTTGATCTGCGACCTCGAAATAATCTATGATCAATTAATTTGATAATATGTGACTAATAAATAAGTTGTGACCAATAATTATTATATGTGATATAATTATGACCTTAAATTTTGAATTTTGAAACTTGACACCTGAAAATTGAATTGTGTCAAAGTTAACACTTGACTTTTAAATTTCCCCCCCTAGGCTACTGCTTAGGTTAGTAGGTGACATTGGCCCAAGGCCAGGCTCGATAAAGAACTTCAATCATGAAGCAGTGTTAAGGTTGAAATTAAAAGAAGATGCAAAGGGGACCTTGCCAATATTGCTACCATGATACATAGGTCATAATTGATACGTTTTTCTAAATAATATAAAGAGTACAAAAATTTAATAGTGCAAAATCATTGATCCAATATTAACTTTAGAAAATTGCCTAAATATCTATTATTATATATTGCTTTTAAATATTAATATTTTACCATGCACAAATTATTGAACGATAAAAACATGCCTTTATAAATTTCAAACATCACGTTCACATGAGACGTAGAATGATTTATGTGAATTGTGACATGTATAATGATTATTGTAACTGAAAAACATGTAGAGAAAATTATGAATCACCGGAGCACAATTTATTATTATCTTAATCTCAAAGATGTTAAAATGGAAGAGACGGTAAGTGGTGGTAAAATTTTAACAAAGAAATATGAGAGAGAGAATATTAATTATCCTTTAATAATCAGCAATTAAGTTCACGTTTGTGTATTATATAAATTAATATTATACATTTTCAAATAAATAATCTTGAATTATGACCTGGATTATGAAAAGCTTCTCAAACTTTGATAGTCGTGAAAATCTAATCATCAATTACTTAGCCTCTATTTGAACCTCATTCTTTAAAAACTCCTTTTTTTTTTTTTTTTTTTTCCTTCAAACTCATTTTTAACCATGGTTCCCTAAATAAAATAATTTTATACGTAACCAAAATTTTTTTCCTACTTTTTAACCATGCATCTTCAAAAATCGCTATTACAAAATTTATTTTCTCAAAACATGGGCTCAAACAAATAATTAATATTACAATTTCCTTTAGTGTAAATTACACATACACATGATTTTTAACTTTCCGATTCAAATTGAATATAAATTTTTTATTCAAAAATCAAGTGATAATTCAACTTTTAAATATTAATAATAACATTAAAAAATTAAATTAATCTACCCCAACCCTATATCACTCTCAAAGCCCTAAATCATTCAACTCTCTCTTTTCTCTTCTCTCTCTTTGTCATATATGGAAGATCACAGTCGAAAACCATCAACAAGCGTTGCGTGTAAACATTGCAATGCAATGACGTCTCATAATGTCGCGTACCGTTGTGTAGGGATGATGGGTTTTTAGGGTTATTTCTTCCTCCAATTTGTTGCTTAGCTAAAGTTTTGGGGTGATTTTTTATTGATTGTTGTAAGTGGTTTATAAATGGTAGTGATGGTGCTGGCGATGATAGTGCTAGCGGTTATGTTGCAGGGGATTATTATGTTGGTGGCAGTAGTGCAGGTGGTGCTGATGTTGATACAATGGTGAGATGGTGATGGTTCTAGTGGTGGTCAGAAATGGTGGTGCTGCTAGTGGTGGTGGTGAGTGGCAAGATGTTCAGTTGATGCTAGTGGTTAATTGGGATGAGGTGGGGCGGAGTGTGGTAGGAATGAAGAGTGCGTGAGACCAATTATTTGGGTTATTATGACAAATAAATTTGTTAATTTGTGCTAATAAATAATATGTGATAGATAAAATAGATATTTTATAACCAATAAATAATATGTAACCTAAAAAAAGTGATATTGCAACTAAATTTATAATCATGACTTACAATTTGTTACGTGGTAATTAATTAATTTGATAATTTGTAACCATAAAATAAGTTGTGATCTATAAAACTCGTGATTTGAGATCGAGAAATAATACGTGATTTATCAATTTGATAATGTGTAATAGAAAAATAAGTTGTAACTTATAAAATTTGTAATTTATCACTGTGACGTTTTGTAATTATGATTATGACGTTTTGTTATTGTAACTAATACATAACTATAATGATAAACTGTATATTATTGTGATATTAATATATTTAATTAATAAAAATATTTTTAATTATCTATTTAATTATGACTTGATTTTTAAAATTTTTAAACAAATTTTTTAATTTTGAATTTTTATATTTCAAAGACCTTTATGTTCCATCAATAATAGTACAGTCCTGCCTGAAATTGGCCCAATCTCGAGGCTTGGCCCAATGGTTTCAATTGGTTTCGACGTTGACAGTTTACCCACCAAACCAATAAAACATGCTATGATTCAACAATATATGTTTGTGAATTTGATAGAACGGATTTGTTTAGGCTTGAAAGATCTGTAATAAGAAAGATCAACCCCGAATGGCAGTTGATCTGCTAGTTTCCCAACTTCTCGTGGTTTCCTGCTTTCAATAGGCAGCGAGGCCAGATACCTCAAGGATCAGGATCTGGGAACCCGTCAAGGTAATATTATCTGAAACAGGTCGTCTCTTTCATTACATATACTCATTTACTCATTTCATTGTCATGAATAAATTTGTTGATGAATGTTAAACCTGGTGCCCTGTTAAACCTGTCGTCGATCTCGTACATTAATGAAGATGAGAAAATTTCGAGCGTGTTATCAGGTTTTGCTGCTCATGGGTACGATTATAATTACCTATCTCCTTCAACGTCACTAAATATGTTCATTTCTTTGGTACCAATTTCTTTTTAACAAAAATAAAATTGTAAATTACTTTCGCCAGCATCTTCTTTATTATCTATTCCATTTCCTTTAGATGGTGGGGATCGTAAAGATAATGGCTTTAGACAATTTTTCTTTATCACGTTTCTATTCAGAGAAGGGGGGGAGAGGACGAATTGCTTTT